GATATCGGAGAAGAGGGGATGGATATCGGAGAAGAGTGAGAGATGGGTGTAAGAGAGGATGGGTGAGAGAGGTAGTAAAGGTAGAATGGCTTGTGGTAGAAGGAAGAGAGATCCTGGAAGAAAGGCCGAGACAGTTTTGGAATAGGTAGAGAGAAAAACATCGTCGACGTGCTTCCTGTCTGGCCTCTTGTAAAGTGAGGCCTAGTTTGAATGTGAGAGCTGTTGCCTCTGATTCGAGCTTGTGGGTTTGCAGTCTTTGCAAAGTGTGCAACTCCAAGAAAGTACATTATAGGAGCCACCACAAAAGGCACAACTGCATAGCAGAATAGGGCAATATGAATGGCCATGGGCAGGTTAGGCTCATAGAGGGCAGCAGGCCTTGGAGCGAGAGATTAGCTGGGTGGCCAAAACTAACATTGGCAGGGAAAGGGTCGACGTGGTTCCACAAGGCAGGACACTCCATTATTTATTTCAGGGAGGTCTACAGAAGCTAATCTTGGCAATATTAGTGTAAATCTTGTGCTGGCCTTTGAGAGGAATAGTATACTGTACTGCCACTATAGCAGAGTCAACGAAGCAGGTGAGTAGGTGGTTATCAGTCTGACCAGTCCTTGTTGTAGACAGGACAGTCAGTCAAGGAGAAGGGAAACAGTTCTGGTACAAGTTTTAAGTAAGGATTGTGGTTGGGCACGAATGGGTTTTCTTAGGAGGTCAATCAGGGTAGATAATGCATGAGTTTGGTACTCGGATGTAATTATGACAAGGTATGAATGATCAGAACAACAGTGAAAGGAAACTTTGCGTAATGTTTTTGGAGACATTGTTGGAAGAGAAAGGTACTGTCAGAATAAGGGGTTGTAAGGATTGGAGGATGGATGAGAGGAACTCTTGGGTCATGCTTACGAAGTTTTTGATCTTCTGAAAGGGAATTGGATGTGGAGGTTTGGGAAACGAAGGATGATTTATGAGGAGGTGAAGAGATAGGCATCTGAGGCTTAGATGTAGGTGTGGGAAGTGATGTAGTAGATGGGATGGAACGTTTGGATTATCTGGTGCGATAGGTAAGGCGAAAATAGGGACAGACATAAGTAGAGGTTGGAAGGTGAGCAGGAGGAGGAAGATGTACTGAGGAAGATGTAGAGATATCTTGGGTAGAGGGAAGAGGAGTGGTATTGAAGTAAGGATTGATTGAAAAACCTTGTCTGTGTGCTTCCTGTCTGGCCTTTCTTAGACTGAGGCCTAATTTGTATCTGAGAACTGCTACCTCAGACCTATAGCCAATGCAATTGGCACATATACATAATAGTGCTGGGCAGTCTGAACGGTCATAATCAAGTTGGGCACAGTGGGCAGTTGGGTGTGGAACGACAGTACTTTGCAGGGTGGCCAAAATGACATTTCTATCACTAATGAGTGTGATTTGGTCTGACAGGACAAGATTCTTTTCCAATATAGACAGGGAAGGTCATGTCTACAGAAGGTAATCTTGGCTATATTGATGTGGGACTTACAGCAGGTTTTGGGGGGAATATTGTAGCACTGTACTGATACTGCATTGTAGTCAGCAAGGTAGACAAGATCATCTTCACAGTCTGCTCAAACTTTGTTGTAGATAGGGCAATCAAACGGGGAGATGGGAACAGTTCCATTATATTACAAGGGAGGAATGGGGTTGGGCAAGAAGAGGTTTGCCTGTTAGGTTAATCAGAATAGATAGCGCATGGGCTTGGAACTCCGATGTAACTATGACAAAGGGGGAGCGATTGGAACGACTACAGAAAGAAACATTGCCTAATTGTCGTTGATAGAGGGGCAAGCATGACTGACACAAAGTCAGCCCTTCATCTTTTCAAAGCGACTTTCACACCTTAGGAATTGGACAGGGGAAAGACGGGAAAATGAAAGGAATAGGAGAGGAAAAAAGTCTGGAAAATCAGTCGAGTCGATGGCTGAGGCCCATGGTGGGGGAGATCCTCAGCACTAGGCCTCAGTCTCCGTCTTCTAAGCTCCCCACAACAAGGAGGGGGGAGGTATAATTTGAAATCCACTTCATGCTTCTCCAATGAGAACACACTGGATTGCGTCCTGGCTGCATTATATTTTGTTCTATTTCAGCATGTAAGCAGAGCGTCTTATTTTGTCCTTTATGTTCTTAATCAGATGAAAGCAAAGGAAGAAAGTGATTTAAAACATTATATTTGTCTAAATAAAATTATATTAAAACAAATACATAAAATCAAATTCGGGTAAAAGTAAAAAATAAAAAGTTGATAATTATTTCTCAAGAATGCAATCACTCATCAGCAAACCAGGCTATTTCTTCCTCCTGGAATTTTTCTTCTTATTCTTCCGACCCGCTCCCCCGACATTCGCAGTTCCGTCCGCGGCGCTGCTCTTCTTTGGCGCGCTGGTCGGGCCTGGTCTCGCTCCGTCCACGGCCGAACCGCCACGCTTGAAGTCGGAGGCTATCTCAGGGTGTCCAAACGCGGCTTTGTGTTCTTTGATGTCATCGGTCTCGTTATTGTTCTCTCTCTCTCTGTCTAGTTTGTTTCCCGCAGCTTGCTCTGCCTCGGCCTGGGTGG